GAGTAATCTCACCTCTAGCCACCAAAGGCTGTAAAATACGCTTGCAGTCAGCATTTGCATTTTCAACTGCCAATTTCAGCAAAAATTCCTTTGCTGCTTCTTCATTAGATATTTGTCTGGTAATAGCCAATTGCAGCCTTTCCACAAAATCATTATAAGACTCAGATGCTGTTTGCTTAATTTGAGAAAAAGACTGTGCTGGGGTTCCCACATCCTGGATGCGGGACAATGCCCCAAGGACAGCTGCCATAACCACTGGAAATACGTGATCAGGCAAATTAGCAGCTTGATCAGCAGTGGATTCAAACAAACCTGCCCCATAGATTTGGTCTGGCGTATACAGCCCCCCTGAATTCCTTCCCCTAGTGATAGCTTCTCTTTGGTATTCTGAGTCAAAGACCACATACTGAGTAGAACTCAATATCATTCTCATTAAATCTTTCCAGTCACTAGGAATCATGCGTGAGGTAGCCAAACTTGTCAGAAGCCCCTTTGGAAAAGGACTTTGAATACCATAATCTTTAACTGCTTTTTTAATTTCCCTAAGAACAGCTAAAGGAATCGGAACCCATTCAGTTTGCAGATTACCTTGAGCATTTATTTGCCTATTAACTGGAAACAAATTCATTTGGGGAATCTCGTCAGGCTCTAATTTCCCTTCATTGAAAGCCTGATGCATCATTGCTTGAACTTTCCCCGTTTGTGATTGGATTTTCTCCTCTACAGGCGTAAGCGCTGTTGGGGTTGAGAAGGCATATTCCAATTTAGAAATTGGGGGGTGCAACACAACTCCTTCATAAGGAGGAGGTTCTACTAAAGTTTTTAAAAGAGGTTTTTGCTGAGTTTCTAAAGCAGTCATAACAACCTTCCAATATATCAAAATTTCAGCTGTTGCCCGTGGCTCTTCATGAAAGATAGTTCCAATTCTCCTCCACGTGTCTAACTTTAAAGATCCCTTCTCTGGATACCAGGGACACTGCCGCCAGATCTCTTGCAGCAGCTCTTTCACATTACCTTTTGAAAGAACTATTTGCTCCCCCCCAGAGGGTTTAAAGATAAAGAAGTTTGTCCTGACTAACTTCAGCAGCTCACTAACATGCCGTTCCTGTGGCTGAGAGAGTTTTCCCCCCATGCTCCCTGAAAAAAATCCTATTGTCCAGCAATAGTTAAGTACGTACTTTACCTATTCCAGGCAAGGAAACACGGAGGTCCGGACACGTACCACCCGCAGTGGATCACCTCGGGGTCACCACTTGTGGTGGACTCCCATGGAAAGGATGAGACACAAGCGAGTGAACTCGGGATGGGAGTCTAGAGCAATTTCTAGTGCTCCCTTTTTATTGAGAATTTTACACATAGTAAGCATTCACATTGTGGATAATAATTAAACATAATACATGGAATTATTTACAATTGTCTGAGCTGCATGATTGTTTCTGGTGTTTACTTTTAATTTCCTTGTTTTATGTAGGTGACCTTTAGGCAGACATGTATGTATAAGGTCTTAGATTAATCATTACTCAATACTGGAGTCAGAGTTATTCCCACACCAATCAAGTCACACCCCCACTAGCAGTTAAAAGGAAGAAGCAGCTGCAAGCTCACATTACTCCGAGAAGCGCAAAGCCGAAGACACAAGCCTGAAGATGATGAATGAGACTTCATCGAAACGTTGCCTAGATACTTCCAATTTTACACAGGAAAAAACCCGAATAACCAAAGATCCATATATATATATATACCCAGTATATTTTTAGATCTGAATAATGCTTGATAATGAGTATTATTTTGTCTTCCTGTTTAAAAAGTGTAAAAGATCTAGAAATCTTGGCGCGTTAACATTATTTCCATTGTGGTTATTTCAAAAGGCAAGAAGCAATTTATATTCTCAGAACCTAACTGTTGGGTCATGACATAAGGGAGCATATTGAAGCATTTTTCCAGTTCTCCTTTGTGTGTATACTGCAGAAATAATTTTACTAATCACAGACAACTTATCTTTCTACGGCTTAGCTATCATTACTAATTGTGTTGTTGGAAAAATACTGGAAACCCTTCACGAAGTGTGTAAAACCAGTAATTAAAAGTAATAGTGATTACATATGTAATTATACTTCACATAAACAAATACAAAAAATTTGCTTCACTTAATTGACAAACCAAAATTTGATTGGGTCATGATTACTGAAAAATTCTCTCATTTCCTAGCTCAAGAAAATTGCTATTATATTTAGATAAATGATATCTTTCCGTTTATTTTAAAAAATGGTCTTGATACATGTATTATAAAATGTCATGCTTACTTAGCCATGGTTTAATGAGTACAACACAATTAGGTGGTTTTGTATCATTGATCTACATAATTTTCAAACCAAACTGATTGGCTTATGTAACATTCTAAACCAAATATGAATAAAAACATTTTGGCTTATTTTAGTGTGTGATCATGATAGAGGAGAATATTTGTAGTTCAGAATTGAAATAAGAGGTGCACTCTGAGTTTGGTTGTTTTCTTGAAGACGTTTTCTTACCCATAATGATCATGTTACCTAGTTGGATAATAAAACATCTGGAAGAAAACAACGAAGCTGAGAAACCACTTATGTGTGATTTCAAACATCAAAATCCAAGTTTGGTAGAACATCAGTTAATCATGTCTTGATGCTAAAAATAATTTATATCTTTCAAATGTTTAAATAATAGACCCAAGAAAATAGTGTAGCAACATTTATTTGACTGGATATAGTCATATCACATAGTTGTATCACAAAATATTATCTATAATTGTTTTGATAATTCTTAGACTTCGGGCCACAAAAGATAAGGGCAAAAATATTTCTTCTTTTATTAGAGTTGATGACAACAGAATACTAAGATATCACCTTTCATAAATTCATTGTATGGAAACACTCTTAACTGCCAGTTTGGCCAATTGCCCAATGTTCAGTGTATGCTATTTTGAAATTCCTAAAGGTTCTTAAAGTTAGTAACATGCATTTAAAATATTTCAAGACAATTTGATAGTGCAGATACTATATGGAGGAGAGATATGGGAATGGGATGACAAGCTTATTTTAAAATGAAACAATAAACATAACTTCATTAGGACCAATATCTCTGCTGTTTATCTAAATATGGAAATAGCCTTACCTTCCATCACAGTTGGAGTACATCTTGCATTGTTGAAGCACTATAAGAAACTGGAAAAACCTTCAGGAATCTTACCTTGAAAAATTATTTTCTTCACTATGTATATGTAATCCCCGGGTTATGAACATTCCATTAGCGAATGTTCAAACTTATGCAATAAGTGCCCCCTAGCGTTTGCGAACAAGGCCTGAAACTACAAATCTTGCAGCACCGTGGCAATTTTTGACCCTTACAAACAACCACACAAGCTCTGCTACATTTGTCCTGCATGTTGTCGGCTGAAATGGAGCTTTTGAGGGCTGGATCCGCCCGTCAAAAGCCCTGTTTGGGTAACTAAAGGCCTTCCCCAACCCATTGCAGGCCGAAATGGAGCCTCTGGGGACACAGCCCTCTAAGGTTCCGTTTGGCTCTCCATGGGCCTCCCCCCGGCCTGTTGCAGGCTGAAATGGAGCCTTGCGGGGGATGTTTGATGCAATGCAATGCTTTTTAAAATTTTAAATATCAATACATATGCACAAATGTATTCAATCAGAATAATAAAAGAACTGAGCAGCAAAATTACAGTAATATATAGTAGCATAATAAAAACTTATTTAAAACCCTCTGTAAAGTTCAATTAGTAACACGTAGCATAATTCACCCTAAGCCTAATATTTATCCTTCGTTATAGCAAATTAATTCTGTAGTAGTTTGTTGAATAGCTATGACACAAAATGTAATTACATTATGCATAATGTTAGGCTAATTGCTGAAAAGAAAAAGGTAAGATAAAACATCTAATTATCTTGGCATATGTTCTAATAAAAGAAAGATGAAAGATTGATGGCTGCCTTGATAATACTGCGTGAGCAGTACAACAAAACATTTTGGGTAGTTTTGAATATGAATCACAGGAAAAGGGCTTCTGGATAAAGGAATTTTTGGCTAACTTGCAACAGATTAAAAACATGCCTGGTTTTAAGAATGCTTGCTGCTGAGTAGAGAATATCAGCATAGTTAAATATCTAGTTGAGAGCCATTTGGTATAAGGATCAGGCACAGAAGAGACTGCCTATAGAAATTGCTGCAGTTCTCGCCACCCCCCACCCCGCCAGAGTTAGGAGAGAAAGGGTTTAAAAGAGAAAAGCACACAACAGAGAATTCACTAATCCTGTTTACATAGGACTATTGGGGCTGCTTGCATCAGCATATTGTTTTTGAAGTGTCTTCCCCATTGTGTACCTGCTCACTATCTGGTAATCCTTTTCTCTCCAGTGATTGTAAATACAAAGATTTTCCTTTTTGCTAATTATCCCAGTGCCAGGGTGAGCATGTCAAAGGATATGGCAGTAGGGAAAAAGAAAGCACAATTGGGGTATATGTGATTTCCCAATTAGCAAATAATTTGCTAAAGTAGCGCTGCTGATCCCAATTGTGGTTGCTAAATGAGAGCTACCAGTATTTGGGCAAAAAACTCAATATTTCTACAAGTTCCTCAGTGCTAATTATTTCATGAATCTATATGATGTTTTCCAAAAGCCAGTAGCATTGAGGACCATCCTTACATATTTGTTGCTTTATCTTGTTCAATTTTGTTTCCTGAAATATTGCACTTATATTTTTATGATTTTTAGCAAAGATCACTACCTTAGTTCTTGTGGTAATTTATTGCCAACTGTTGTATTTTTCAGTAATCAACCAATATTCTAAGAAGACTGTTGAAGGTTAAGATTTGTGGGGTAATAAATGCAGTTATGAATTAATAATGCTAAGTTGGCTGTACATATAAACATACACATACACACACAAACAAACACACAAACACAGGTTTATGTCTATAATAACATTTGTGCTATTTCAAATCTTTGCAGGTTGCCTGCCTTACTTATATAGCGAGCAATTTCCTAAATTGCAGAACAGAATCCATACGATGGGGCACTGCTCATGCAAGTATTGTACCCTATCAGGTGAGTTAATGGCTTGTTAAAGTTAAGTCTGTTTTCTTCATTTTGTCTTTATGTTACACTTTAGAATCAGTTTCTTGTCTAAAATTGTCCCTTATCTACATATTGTAGATTGTGCATATGCACACATTGTAATAGATTATTAACATGTATTCAGCAGGTTCTGATCAGTTCTGGAGAACCGGTAGTGGAAATTTTGAGTTGTTCAGAGTACAGGCAAATACCACCTTTGACTAGCCTTGCCACCATCTATTCTCTACTTCCAGAGTCCCAGCTGATCAGCTGGGTCTTCTTTTGTTGCCCTGCATAGGAAAATGGAGTTGGAAAGCAGGTTAGTGGGGTGGGGAGGGAATGGAATTTTGCAGTAACCTTCCTCCAGAAATGGGGAAGGAATGGAGATTTTGCAGTATCCTTCCCCTGCCACGCCCACCAAGCCAAGGTATGCCCACCAAGCCACATCACACCCACCAAGCCAAGCCCACACAACCAGTAGTAAACATTTTTGAATCCCACCACTGTTTATCAAGAAGAACTTGAATTTGAATGACTGAAATGGTTAGCTGTAGTGAGATGAAGTTTATGATCTATGATATTTTTATGCCTGTATAAAACCATCATATTTTACATCTTATTTAAGTAGTAATTTCCATTCTATAGATTTAACAAATAGAAAAGGTAGATGTATTACTTTTTATTAATTTATAATATAAAATACAAAAATATAAAAGGAAATAATAGGAAAAGTAAAGGAGGGAAAAGGGAAGAGAAAAGTATAGAGAAAAAGAGAAAAAGCATTGACATCCGACTCCCTTTGGTGCAGTAGAATAAGAAATAACATTGAACCTCAATTTTTTTACTTTTATTTAATAAAAGCCATTTCTATAACAACAAATCTATTTAACCAGTAAATCCCAAAATCAAAGTTTCATATTTTTCTATCTCAAGCACAAAGTCCAGAAGCAATTTCCAAGTACAGGTGAAATTCAAAAAATTAGAATATCATGCAAAAGTTTATTTCAGTAATGCAACTTAAAAGGTGAAACTAATATATGAGATAGACTCATTACGTGCAAAGTAAGATAATTCAAACCGTGATTTGTCATAATTGAGATGATTATAGCTTACAGCTCATGAAAACCCCAAATCTACAATCTCAGAAAATTAGAATATTCTGAAAAGGTTCAATATTCTAGGCTCAAAGTGTCCCACTCTAATCAGCTAATTAAGCCATAACATCTGCAAAGGGTCCTGAGCCTTTAAATCAGGGGTGGGCAAACTACGGCCCGCGGGCCACATCCGGCCCGTTGGTCTGTCCAATGCGGCCCGCCCCTGAAAAAAATCGCTGCCATTGGTCTGTCCAATCCGGCCCGCCCCTGAAAAAAAATTGCTGGGCCCTGTGCCGCGTGGCCCCCAAAGCTGCAAAACAGTGCGGAGCGATCTAGGGGTAGGAAAGAAAAGAAATTTGCAAAGGCCTTGGCTGGGAGTTCGAAATCACTTTCGAGTGCGACCTCTCCGAAGGTGAGTCCCCGCCGATCCCCCTTTTTTTCCCGGGGCTTCCAGGCTTAAACTTTGCAAAGGCAAAGCTTGCAGGCTGGAGCGTCTTCCCGCCGAGGAGCGGGAAGGGTTCCGCCCGGCGGGCGGGGCGGGCTGCTTGGAGTGGGCTGCTGTGTGGCTCGGGGCGAGGCGCGAGCGCCCGCGAGTTAAAACGAAGCCGAAAGTTGCTGGGAAGTTGCTCGGATTTCCGGGGCTTCCAGGCTTAAACTTTGCTTGGGCGGTACTTTAAAAGCCTGCTCCCAGCACCCGAGCAACTTCCCAGCAACTTTCGGCTTCCTTTTAACTCGCGGGGGCTCGCGCCTGGCCCCGAGCCGCGCGGAAGAGGGGAAGCCCGGCGGGCGGGCGGGCTGCTTGGAGGAGGCGACCCGGCGGTGCTCCGGCAGCAGCAACAGGCAGTTTCGCCCGGGCTCCGCTCAGGTGTCCGGCTGGGGCTGTCAGGAGTTGCTACCGCCGGCGCGGCTCCGTGCGGCTCCAGTCCCGCGTTGCCTTGGGAAGGAAAAGGCAAAACCAGGAGCCGCTGAGCCTGAGCCTCCGGTGCCGCTGCTCCCGTTGCAAAGCACCGCCGCGGCTCTTCCTTTTTGCCTTTCCCTTCCCGAGGCAACGCGGGACTGGAGCCGCGCGGAGCCGCGCCAGCGGTAGCAACTCCTGACTCAGGGGGCCTCCGAGGGGAGGGGAAGGAGGAGAAGAGGGGGGGAAGGGGGGGGCAATTCCCAAAAAATCTTGTGCTGACCCGGCCCATCTGTCAAAATTTAAAAGTCAATGCGGCCCCCGAGCCAAAAAGTTTGCCCACCCCTGCTTTAAATGGTCTCTCAGTCTGGTTCAGTCAGAATCCCAATCATGGGAAAGACTGCTGACCTGACAGTTGTGCAGAAAACCATCATTGACACCCAGAGGGAAAGCCTCAAAAGGTAATTGCAAATGAAGTTGGATGTTCCCAAAGTGCTGTATCAAAACACATTAATAAAAAGTTAAGTGGAAGGGAAAAGTGTGGAAGAAAAAGGTGCACAAGCAGCAGGGATGACCGCAGCCCGGAGAGGATTGTCAGGAAAAGGCCATTCAAATGTGTTGGGGACTTTCACAAGGAGTGGACTGAGGCTGGAGTCAGTGCATCAAGAGCCACCACACACAGATGGATCCTGGACATGGGCTTCAAATGTCGTATTCCTCTTGTCAAGCTGCTCCTGAACAACAAACAACATCAGAAGCGTCTTACCTGGGCTAAAGAAAAACAGACCTGGTCAGTTGCTCAGTGGTCCAAGTCCTCTTTTCTGATTTGAACAACTTTTGCGTCTCATTTGGAAACCAAGGATTCAGAGTCTGGAGGAAGAATGGAGAGCACACACTGCAAGATGCTTGAAGTCCAATGTGAAGTTTCCACAGTCTGTGTTGATTTGGGGAGCCATGTCATCTGCTGGTGTTGGTCCACTGTGCTTCATTAAGTCCATGGTGAACGCAGCCGTCTACCAGGAGATTTTGGAGCACTTCATGCTTCCTTCCGCAGACAAACTTTATGGGGATGCTGACTTCATTTTCCAGCAGGACTTGGCACCTGCCCACACTGCCAAAAGCACCAAAACCTGGTTCAATGACCGTGGGATTATTGTGCTTGATTGGCCAGCAAACTCGGCTGACCTGAACCCCATAGAGAATCTATGGGGCATTGCAAGAGAAAGATGAGAGAGATGAGACCAAACAATGCAGAAGAGCTGAAGGCCACTATTGAAGCATCCTGGTCTTCCATAACACTTCAGCAGTGTCACAGGCTGATAGCTTCCATGCCACGCCGCATTGAGGCAGTACTTGCTGCAAAAGGGGCCCAAACCAAGTACTGAGGACATATGCATGCTTATACTTTTCAGAAGTCCAATATTGTTCTATGTACAATCCTTGTTTTATTGGTTGCATGTAATATTCTAATTTTTTGAGCTTGTGGATTTGGGGTTTTCATGAGCTGTAAGCCATAATCATCTCAATTATGACAAATCACGGTTTGAACTATCTTGCTTTGCATGTAATGAGTCTATCTCATATATTAGTTTCACCTTTTAAGTTGCATTACTGAAATAAATGAACTTTTGCATGATATTCTAATTTTTTGAGTTTCACCTGTAGAAACAAAAGTACTTGTGTGTTTTTTCTTTTATCAAAGTAATCAATTTAGCCATCTCATCTGCTGTGAGCTAATTTCAATCAGTTTCTGCAGCCATTCCTCCATTGTGGGCATCTAAGTGTCCTTCCATTTTTGTGCATTTTTGCTGCCATCAACATGTATAACATCAAAGTTTTTTCTAACTCCTTTTCCATTAAACCCAAAGAAAAATTTCTGGTTTTATATTTATATTCACTTTGAGAATCTTCTATATTAGAATATGAATCCTATTCACATATTTCTGTGCTTTATCACATGTCCACCATAAATGATAAAAGGTCCCTTCTTTACATTTGCATTTCCAAAATTCATTTTAAATACCTTTATACATTTTTGATAACTGATCTGGTGTTAAACACCAAAGATATATCATATTATAATAATTTCCTTTAAATTGTAATTTAATTTAAATTTTAAACATTTCACTCATATATTCTCCCATTGTTCAAGCTTTACAGTATCCAAAGTTCTTTGCCCACTGAAAAGGTATTCCATAAAGATTTTGAAAGCCTCATGAAAGTTTTCACTGAATCATTTAAGGGTGCTAATTTATATTGTAAGATTTTTTTGTGGCAGGGTTACCAAAAGAATAGCATCTCTTAAAAACACAATTTTAAAGGAGCATAACCTTTATGTCTAAAAACATTAATATTTAAAATTTATTTTAATTAATCAATAAATCTTAGTTTTATTTTTAACAAAATTATATTTTTATCTCTGTAATGTCATTGTTGTCTCCCCCCCCAGTTCCCGGTGTCCTTCTCACTGCTGTGAGGAAAGTGTATGACAAAAAATAAATCTAAATTGCCTCCTGATGATATACAGATGAAAAGTCTGCATTTAATTAAATTGATTTTAATTGTAATTTCGATTTAATTGTAAACATACTAGGGAATAGACAACTAGGTGTCATCCAGAAACTAACAAAGTCCCTTGACATCAACCAGCTGTCTGGAATTGGTTGAACTGAAGTCTCCCAAAAGTTTGGAAGACATCAACTTGGCCTACCCTTAAATAATTTAACCTCTGATTGTGACCATATAAACAATTAGAAGTATTACAAGATTCATGATATAAATGCTTAAAAGACTTACCTGACATTTATTAAGTTAGCAGATTTAAATTCCTGTGAAGGTAACAGCATTTAACATCTTGGCTTATTTTAAGAACTTAAACAGGATTATATCTGATTAATATTTGAATGGGGAATATTAGGAAATCCCAAGGATGTAAACTAGACTGGAAAGTTAAAAACTTTCTGGAAGGAGACAGTGATAAATCACTTTAGTATCATTGTGGA